CAGAGAGGAGAGATAGGAGGATCATCCATCTGCTGGTCAATCCTCAAATGGCCACAATGACCAGAGCTGAACTGATCCAAAGCCAGGAGCTTCTTCTGAGTCTCCCATGTGGGCACAGCATCCCAGGGACCTCAACGATCCTCCACTGATTTCCCAGTCCACAAATCAGAGAGCTGGATGAGAGGTGGAGCAGCCAGGACACAAACCAATGCTCTTGTGAAATATCAGAGGATTAGTCAATTAAGCCATCATGCTGGCTCCCAAATAAACTTATTTTTGAATTACACTTTTGTTTTAAAATATATTTGAGCAGCAGAAAGATAGAAACAAATGGACAGAGCTCCCATCCACTGACTCCTTCCTCAAATGCCCACAGTGGTTAAGTAGGAAGCTGAGGGCAAAGCCAGAAACCAAAACACCATTCATGTCTTCTCTCTATGGGTGGTGAGAAACGAATCACTTCAGGTACCACAGGGTCTGCACTCAGAGGAAGTTAGAGTCAGAAGCTTTGGTCAGAAATCAAACTCAGGTGTTCCAGTATGGGATGCAGAATAACAGAACTGTGGTCCAACTTAAGGGAATGTCCATTTTATTCTCAGATTTGAAAGAAGGGGGGTCATTTACTAAGAACCAACTCTCCTCCCCCAGAAACATGGACGGGGATATGGGCAGAAACAGGAGTCGGGCCTGTCTCCTCAACTTCACCAGATGTGGCTTCAGCGATACCCCCTGTCCAGGTGGCCTTAAGCCCTTGGCTTAGGACTGGCAGCTTTGGAAGGCCAGGGTGCTACCAGGTTCCCTGTGCACCTGAACACTTTGCAGTCAGTTCCCCAGGATCCGGCCCACCTTGGTCCTCTGCTGGACTAAGACTTCAGATTGGATGCACTAGGCACACCGCAGCATGGACTTGCTGCCTGGCTCCTCTGGGCAGCTATCTGAGTCCACACCCGGTGGATCCTGTATGCCATGACATTCAGGTCCATGACCCTTAGGGTTTTCTTGGTCTTTACTGACAGTGCAGAGGCGCATATGCATATGGACCCTCTCAGCTCTGCTGCTACACACATCCCTGTGGACTGGCATCTTCCTGCTGTGCGGGGATCTCAGAAGCTCTGTCCCTGCTGTACTGTGGAACTGCACCTTTTCAGCCTTTCCCTTCCTCCGCCTCAGCCTCTGGGTACCATCACTCTGTTCTCTACTTCTTTGAAGCCAACACCTCTGGAAACCCCGCAGCTGTGAGATGGTCAAGTGTCTGTCTTTCTGGGGTGATCCACATGGCATTCAGCTCCAGCAGAGCTTCCATCAAGATCAGAGGGAAGGGTTGATGGAAGAGAGATCAGAGCTTAAGTTTAAATTTGGGCTAAATGTAAATCTAAATTTAGGTCAGAGTTAATCTAGATTGCTGTTTGGGAACATTAGGTGGATAGAATAAATGTCCTAAATTGTTACATTTTCTAACAGGAAATTCACAGAAAATTTCTGATTGTGAAAAAATCAAGAAGTAACAATATAAGTGTGTGATTTGAAATGTGAAGATAAAATGCCAGAGTTGGTGGTGTGTGTCCTTAGGGACTAGTTTGCAGATGAGTGAGCATTAGCGCATGGGCACTGTTCTTTGTTGTAAAGTAGTTGAGTACTATTTGACTTTAATTAGGAGCATTACTTTTGTAAGAGTTTAATCGATAATAAAAATAAGATTATCATGTAGATTTGTTTAGGGATTATATGGACAGTAGCAAATCTCCCTTTCATTGTATTATATCCTTTGTACTAGTCTCCCAGCTAATCACTGTTAACAGCTTCTACTGCGAGTGAAATCTTCCACTGTCTGGTTCACTCCCCAGATGGCCACAATGGCCAGGGCTGGCCAAAATCCAGGCACCAAGAAGCTTCATCCAGGGGTCTAGGCACATGGGCCAGCTTTTGCCTGCTTTTGCCAGGCCATTAGTAGGGAGAACGGGTGGAAATGAAGCAGCCAGGACACAAACCAGCAGCCGTATGGGATACAGGCATTGTAGGCAGTGGCTTTACCCACGATATGACAATGCCAGCCCTTACAGTGTCTGCTTTTACTTGTTCTGGTGATTATATTCACAAAGTGAAGTGGGTTTTTTTTTTTGGTTTTTTTTTTTTTTGGTAAGGTATAAAGCTATCTGACCTGCCCCTTCTGAGTTAGCCAAAGTGTCTCCTCATGAAGTTGTACCGCTGGCATGTGGTTAATAGTGTACTTTGAGAGTAATGTACAATTGGCCTGTGCCTGTTGTTGATCTTTTATCCCTGAGCCACTATATCCAGCCAAGGAAGCAGCCCTGACCTAGTTGGGGAAGGCAAAGGGTTATCCTGCCAGTGGGAGCATGGCATTTCTGGCAAGAGATTTCACTTTTAACTGTTGGAGTTGGTGCCACGGCAGATTTTCCTAACTCAGGGAGTAAGTGTTGAGCCCTGGTCCAGCTGGTTAGATTATTTGTTGATTTTGATTATCTGCACCAATAAACTCTATGGCTGGCATGGATAATCAAAAGCAGGCAGTGATTTTCCAGCTTCCTAACAAAAATGTTTTTTGTGTTTTAAAATTGCACCATAAGTGGTTTTGTTCAACTTTCCCCAAATACTGGTTTATAGAGAGAAGGGAGGGGGATTCTTAAATTAAATCAAGAGTTCTCTAGGGATCTCCATCTTCAAGTCACATATCCTTAGGTTATTTTTCTTTTTATCACTTTTCTGTTCTTGATTCATAAATAGGGGAACATTAGTAAAAATGACACTTCCTGTCTTTTATTCAGTTCTTACTGTATGCTGGGTGCTCTGATAAGTACTGAAAATTTCATTTAACTCTCACAGTAATCTTAGGGGCTAGCAGTTGACACCACTCTATTGAGACTCAGGTAGCTGTTTCCACAGAGCTGTACCTGGAACCCTGATTTGTATTGACTTTTGGTCCATGTACTTTGCCTCTGTTTACCTGACTTGCAGTGCAGCCTCCGGCTTCTTACTACGTGAAACTAAGAAGCTGATTTATACTGAAAACCTTTTGCCAATACTAGATATATAGGTTTTTGTTGTCATCACTCACTGGGTGGTTCTTACCATAATTGTGTCTTCTTTTTAAGGAAATTTGCAATTTTACACTTTCTGTTTCTCTCATTCTTTCGTGTTCTCTCCCTTCAGAATTTGGGATGACTGTAAATTACTGCCTTCTCCAGTTTCTTTCCTGCCAACTCAAATTGATGAAATTTTTTAGGCCCACCTTCTTGCATTCTGCATACCTGGTTAAGCCACTACTCCATCACATTATTTATAATAAAAAATATAGCTTTATAAATCTACAAGTCAAAATATTTTACAACGTAATTTATTGTTGTAGATATTCTTGTGCTATTACTTCTTTCTCCCGTTTTTCCCCCATGCTAATACAGCCCTCTTCTGACTAGTGAGGATTGGATTTTCTCAGTAGTTCATCTGGTAGTTTATTATGCTTTACAATGGCGATTTCTGTGTGTTTGTCATCTGTCTTGATAGGAACTCTGAGTCTACCACAGGACTTATTGTTTCTTACATTTAGCACTATATAAAAATTCATCTTTTAAGTTATAATTACCATATAATCCAATTCTGTACTTTTTTGCTATTTTAACACCATAAGTGTCACACAAGTAAAACTTAATTGTCTTTTCCATTATGTTTTTCATCTCTCTAATTATATCTATTATGAGATTAGAAATAGATATTTAATATTTTAAAATATTTTAAAAAGAGAAAATTTAAGTTAGTATTTTAATCTGAGAAATACAGAAAATCTTCCTTGAATGAGTTATTCATTATTCTATAATTTTTAAAAATTAAAATAATATTTGAAAAGCTTTCATCACTTATTTAATTGTTAGCAATGTATAATCTTAATTGGAAAAACTGCAGTATAGTATTAGAAGTGTAGGAAAATGTATGAATTGTTTGGTTTATCTGGCATGGTATATTAAATGTGATTGGAAATTGTTCACATTACCAAATAATGATGTGAGGACATTTAAATATGTACTTAAATACTAAGTTTAAAATAGATATGATTTCATTTCACAAAAAGATGTTGAGTTTTTATGCATCAAAATTGCTTGTTTTTCTGCTGAAATTGAAAATATTTATGGCTTTCTTCTTTTTCTGTTTTTCTTGAACTAATAGTATAAACATGATAGAATAATCATCTCCTTCATTTTCCTTTGCTTAATTTTTTGGATGTTTTATAGAAAATGCTTTTTTTACTTTAACATGTGAATTTAAAGCTGTGGTTTTTGCTTTGAAATTTTAAATTCCCTTAAGATAGAAATAACTTCATACTGAAATCTAACAATAAACTCATAAATTTCATCTATTTTGGATATTCTTGTTTATTAGTCTTAAATGCTTTTATTACTTTTTGAAATACAGGCTTTAATGCTTTTTTTAACTGAAATTTCATACAGAACTTACTCTCATGCTATATTTTTTTCTAAACTGCAGTGAGCATCTTAATGATGCCTTCTTTTATATGTCACTTTTTTTCTGAAAGATGTCTTAAATTATTTTTAACCTTTAATTTGGTTTCCAAAACATCCATATTAAATCATAAGTGTATCTTTCAGAATAAAAAGTTACATATTTGATGTAAATCACTGCCTTTATCTAATCAAATCTCATAAGTAAAAATTCTACGTTTTAAAGATAGTGACATTTTAAATTACTGTTGTTTTTTGAGAGAAAGTGAACCTTAAAATAAAAGTTCAAAATTTTCCATTTTGATGCTTTCATTTACTCATTTCATTTTTAAAATCGTGTACCTTCTTGGAATCCGGCAAAACCTCACTAATGTGTTTCCTTAGATATGTTAATTCCCTTTGTCATAAAATGGAAGCTAGCCTAAATTTTCTAATAATTTTTTATCATGTTAAGATTCGTGGCTGAGTAATTTTGAAAGTGAGTGCATTTATTTTATACGGCTGCTTTTTCCCCCTTCCTGTCTACCTAAGGAAATAGAGAGATTGAGGATAGAACTGAGTGAAAGCAAGCAGCACTTGGAACAGGAGCAGCAGAAGGCGGCCCGGGCCAGAGAGGAGTGCCTGAGACTAACAGGACTGCTAGGCGAATCCGAGCACCAACTGCACCTCACCAGGTACTCCCTAATCCCGTTATGCACCGCAGCATCAATTTCATTCCACTGATTTTTGCCACAGGCTTCCAAACAGTTGTTAGAGTTAGTCATTCAATTCACACACAGCTTTCAGGCAGCCTAAGACAAAGTGGAGTTGTGGCAAGCAAAACACCCAGACATGTGACTGATAAGTGTGTCAGGGAGTTACTGATATATTACAAAACCTTTCATCTGCAATGCTCAAATATTTAGGTGATTCTCTATCAATATAAACAAAATGCTGTTTTTGCTACCACCAGCAACACTTCTGTTAATTTCACATCTGATAAAAAATATTGAACTAAAGGATCAGAGGCTTAGGTTTAGGACAATAGTGTCAATGGTGAAAGCAGCAAAGTTAAAAAAAAATTACAGGATGCAAATTGAAACAGAAATGATACAAAACAAGAAATCTGCATCCTGAGCAATTGTAAAATTTAGAGCTGTAATTGATTGACACTGTTCTTATTCAGGTCATTGTTATAACCATGTTTATATAATGCAGGTTTTGATTACATTGTTCCATCATGAAATAACTATGGCACGATCGTCATTGTCATGAACTTTATTAAACATGCAATTTTTAAGAAATAAAAAATATAAACATATAGCTTAGCCCCAAATTGCAATAAGGTTCTTTAGGTTGCAAGCATTGTGAATTATCTATATTAAAAACACCTACACAAGCACACAAATATACAGAAAAAAAATCCAAATAGAGGTAGTAAATATTACCATGTAAGTATTTCTTTTGATTTTGAGTTTTATTGTGATTTTTCAGCTGTCAGATCAAGCCTTTAGGTTTATTCAGCTCTTAGAGTTTTTCAGATTTTTAAGGAGAGCTTTGTCTCAATACTCAAATAAGTTTATAACAATTGGTTTGGTTTATAAGTCAGAAAAATACTGGTGTTGGAATCGTTGTGATATGTTGAAATTAAACTAAGGAAAGGGACTGATCCCTTTTACATTAAACATGACAATGTAATTCTGAGCACGGTATGATAACAGATGGAGAAAAGCACCACTTGAACAGCCTGCATTTAGAGAAAAAAAAATATTCTGGAGGTTACTGATCCTCCCAAAGTTTTAGGTTGGTGTTAAGATGCCTCTGGTTTTGTTATATTCCAACTTTGTGAAAAACATTTTGTTATGGTAATATTCCAAATGGTTCGACACCTTCGCTTTTAAACAACGAGAGAAAGAGGAAAGAGAAAGAGAAAAAGGAAACAAAATCACTTATAAAATGTGTGTGATTTGGAAGAAATCACAATCAATGGGGAAAAATCCTACTGCAGAATAACTGCCCTTTGAAAGTATTATCATTGTGAAACTGGGAATGCAATGCTAACCCGGCTCCTTGGTTCTTGATTCTTAGAAGTTTCAGAATTTAGCTTTATAATGATAATTTAATATGTTTTTCTTTTTCTGTCAGATTCTATTGAGAGCCAACCATTTGTGTGCTAAGCAGTCCTAAACTATAGAAGTAAAGTCTCAGTGTGGCAGAGCTTTAGTAAATATATATTAGTGGCAGTTTTGCCCGTTTGCCATTCCTGTCTTATTCCGAGTCAATTTCTGAAGTCAAAGTCCATGGAGATTTTTCCCATGCAGTATCAGTTTATACTGTTTAACAAGATTAGTTTCTTGCATGAGCATATTAAGATACAGTAACTTAAAAACAGAGAAGTGGGAACTAACTCCTTTATTCTTTTAAAACATTATATTCCCTGGTACTGTAAAAAAGCCTTTTCTATTTAGCATAATTTACAGCAATTCAATAAGAATTTAAACCTACTTTTACAGAAAACAAAATTTAGTTACCTGTTTCCTAAGTGCAGTATTCTTTTGTAAGCATTCTGTGTTCAATCTGTATTCATGTTCTATAAAATTCACTTTCCTAAACTTAAAGATGACAGCTAAAATGCAAGGAACTGTATCTAACTTCCCTTTTGCTCTGAAATTTCAACTTGATTATTGGACTAAATATTTCTGACATTTTTTGAGAGTTTGTTACCACTTACATTCTCCATTTAATTAGGTATGTAACTATCCTTTTCAATGAAGATCAACCAAATTACAGAATACAGATGTCATCTCATCATTTAGTCTCTAAACATTTTGAATACTTTAAAATATGAAAACCATGTTATAAAATAATGATGAAATAACAGATCTCAATCCTCAGGGGCAAAGAAAATTTAAAAACCGGAGTAGAAATTGGTAGCTTGATCTGGGGGAGGGGGATGTCTACTATTTATTCTTTGTCCTGTTTATTTTAAAAATGGAAAATAGAAACTCAATATTTATTGCAGGATCCAGTGGGTGAGTATAACATTCAGTTGTACAAGAGACATTTAGTTGTACTACTCTGCTTTTAATACTTTCCTGGCCCCTGGCACAAAGAGAACTCAGCTTCTGCCTTTGGTTTGCTCATGTTCCACATTAGGAGTCAGATCCATACAGGCAATCATAACAGAGTGTGACAGTAATGCAGTGATAAAGGTAAAGATGACCACTGGGGTATGTAAGAATTGGGTCTTTCTGTACCGAAGCCAAAGATGATACTTTTGATGAGTAGGAGTCAGCAAAGAGGAGATGATGTTTGGCAGTGATCTTGACTAATAAGTTCATGAGTAGGAGTTCTCAGGGGGAACCCCCAGCAAAGGAAGCAATATAAAAACACCTCAAAACATTCTTGGCAATGGAATTAAAAATGAATACTTTTTAGTGCAAAAAATTGAAAATGCATGGTTTTCTTAATAAAAAAAAAATATATGTAAGTATATATATATTTCCATGAACTTTTTGAAGACTCCTCATAAGTGAAAAGCAACAAAGGTGGGAGACAAGATAAACTAGAAGCTAGGGAAGAAGCAGGGATCTAGTCTGTAGAGACCCTTGGAAGGATCTTCTGTGCATGTCTCTGGGTCTGATATTGCAGTCGATCTGAGAGTAATCTATTGCCCATGGTGCATTTTTTTAAAGATTTATTTTTATTATTTTTTATTGGAAAGGCGGATATACAGAGAGGAGAGACAGAGAGGAAGATCTTCCGTCCAATGATTCACTCCCTAAGTGAGCACAACGGCCGATACTATGCCGGTCTGAAGCCAGGAGCCTCTTCCAGGTCTCCCACGCGGGTGCAGGGTCCCAAAGCCTTGGGCCATCCTCGACTGCTTTCCCGGGCCACAGGCAGGGAGCTGGAAGGGAAGCGGGGCTGCCGGGATTAGAACCAGCGCCCATATGGGATCCTGGGCGTGCAAGGTGAGGACCTTAACCACTTGCGCCACTGCGCCGGGCCCCCATGGTGCATTTTAAGCAAAGCTGTCTACTTGAACAACGTTCTGCACTGAGATCCCAGCTCAGGTGGAAATGCAGCAAGTCAGCTTGGAGAGCTGACGTAGGAGACAAGAGCATCAGTTAGGACAGGTGCAGCAGTTACTGGTTTACCAGTCGATGAAAGAGTCTTTCCTCCTTTCTCAGTTAAAAAGAAAGTTTATTTTGAAATCTGAGTAGGTTTTTTTTTTTAATGTATTTTCCACAAACTTTTTGAAATACCTCTCCCTCTGCCCCCTCCCCCCAAAAAGGGTAAACAGTTAATCCCAAAGGACATTTTGGTGAATAGCCATATGCTATTACTACAACCATGTATTGTTGCTAGAGATGTCACCAGGCGGCCTAGAATTAAGGAACTGAGTTATAGTTCCCTCCCCGGGTATTTACTATCTTTGCAACTTTTGTCAGATGATTAACTCTTTGGATTTACTTTCCTGTAAAATAACCAGCTCTGACGCTCAGTGGTCCTTACAGGTGATTTCAGTCAAGCCATTGGGAGGTGATTACCTGCTTACATGATCTGTTTCTGGAGATCAGTCATGTAAATTGGAACATTCTTTGGTTAAGGTATTTCCGTAGTTGACCTTCTGAGAAGTTTCATGGAAATGGCATGTAACTCAGGCTCTACTGATCTTTCCCAATGATTGTGAAAAGTTTTCCTGACAACCTCCAATCTCCTTGGCTAATCACTGCCCTATGAATCATCATATGTCAGGACCTTGACCCCAATGGTGTATTCTCAAAACCTCCCGTGGTGCTGCACTGGCAGCCTGGCAAGGAAGAGCCTCTCCATCACCCCACACTCCCATCCTTTTCTCAGCCCTGCCCATCCCCTCACGGGCTGATTTCCAGTCAAATGCAAATGCATACAACTCTCTCAAGGTTTTGGACTGTCTGTTCTGAGTCTTCCTGTAGCCCTGTATAATTTAGTCTTTTTTCAAGAGTTCCCTGATATCCTGATTTTCTCTCCCTCTGTAGCCCTCCATGTCAGAAGGAAGCACTTCTCTCTTTAAATTCTTCTTCCCATTTTGAGGGAAGTCTCTGAGCTTAAGAATATATTCATCATAGAATCTGCTCTTTTAAAATCTTTAAGAGTGGCCAACTTTCTGTAAACTGCTTCTATGTTCTGAGAACAGGGCTGAATGCATTTCACTGAATCCTTCCCGTAACTCCATGACGTGTAGGCCCTTATTTTCCCAGGGCTGCAGCGGAGACACTTAAGCACAGAGAAGCAAAATGAGTCTTCTAAGACCACCCAGATGATACATATATGGAAGCAGGTACTGAGCCTCAGTGATTGGCCAGCAAATCTTCTCTCTCATCTATTAGACTGTAATTTTATGTGAATTATTAGAGAGTGAATTAGTATAATTGTTTCCCAGGAGACAACTGAGAAAGTCAGCAACATAACTTTGTAATAGGAATAAGTGTTAACTCTCACTTTCTGCATTGACATCAATAAATACCAGCTTGAGTTTTTCCTGGGAAATGTAATTTCCTTTGGTAGCTTATTTGCCTTTGTCATTTAACATATTATATTACAGTGATTTTTTAGAACAATTAAAATATAAAATCATTCTCCTTTCCTCCTTTTTTTGTTTTTACCAAGAGGAAAGAGAAACTATTATCAACAACAAAAGAATGAAAGT